CACTGGCGTTTGGCTTAAATGACTGGCACACCCTTTTTCTTGGAAAATTTAGCTACTGACGGAGAGGCTTGGGGAAAAAGACTTACCAAGGCCAGACTGAGCGCTGAGGGTCTGTGCGTGAGTACCCGGGAAATACGCCGGGCCGGAATCCCACTGGCCCCGTCGAATCAAATGTCCAAGCTCAAAGTCTGACCAGAAGTCAGCATGAGCGTATGAGGAGTGCAATCCGATTCCAAAGGACGCAAAAAGCTCCATGGATTTATACGGCATAGGAAACTTCGAGAACAAGACGGCTGTCACAGGTAGGAGATCAGGTGTATCGCGAAGTGAACTCAAGCCAAGAAAGTTGTTGTCACTAGAGTACTGCACCGAAACAGCTTTTCTTATCAAAAGCACCCTGGTGGTGTAGTAGAAACTTGGGATGCAGTAGCAAATATATCATTGCCTGTCCTCTACCGCGCGTAGGGATGCTCGTTCGGCTCGGAGTCAACTCACTATGATTCTCAACGTCATATCTACAAAACTTTGAAATCTGTTTTTGCAGAGCTTTCCTTGCATCAATTTAATTTTTGTCATCGAACGCCACAATAATGATAACAAGGCTGATTTGTTCTACAATCGGATCGTCAATACTGATTGACATAAATCCTCAATATTTTCAAAAAAAACGATGTAATTTTCATACATTCCGACTGGATCTTCCCCAGCGTATCCCAGCAAAACACACACACCCTCCCCTTGTGTTGGTCTCCGTGGACTACTACTGGACTAGTTGTCCCCCTGTGGGTTGTTGAGATTCGCCTGACTACACATTTGAACGCCTCTTGAACACCTTCACCAGTGTTTGCGGATGCCTCAAGGAAAGGCCAGGACATCTGCGCCGCAAATGCCCTGCCTGTGTCGGAGGAAACTTGGCGAGAAAATTCCTAAATAATTAGAGTGAAGGTGTGAGCGGGAATCACCAATGGTTAAATTTGAAGCAGGGAACACACCCTATCGGCTTTATTGCCAGGCATTCCCTTCGTTCTTCCCACCCCCACGCCCAGCATAGATTGGGCCGCTATTCGCGGAAGACATAGTCCCACCAAAAATGTACATCGAGCAGAAGAACGCCGAGGCGCCACCACTGATCAAGTTCAAGCTGCTGCTCATTGGAAGCTCATCTGTAGGAAAGAGCAGCCTCCTGCTTCGCTTCTATGATAGGGAATGGGATCCCGAGAACCAGTTTTGGTCTCGATTGCCAGGTTTGTTTGCTTTATCCTCCGTATTAATGTCGACCTGCTGATACACGGATGTTTCTCCGCGGGCACAGCAACACAGGATGGAAGTAGATGGGAGGAAGGTCAGACTCAGCATAGGGGTGCGTTTCTTTCCCTCCCTTTCTGTAGATTGTATATTGCGTACCCCAACATAGGACATGGCTGGCCAGGAACGCTTCCGTACAATCTCAACGTCATATTACCGCGGCGTGCATGGTATCATTCTTGGTGTGTAGCTCTCTTTGCTTTGCACCAGTTTTTGATGCAACGGGAAGTATACGACATCTTGAACCATTCTTCTTTCGAGGCGATACAGGGATGGTACGATGAGCTCGCAAAGCGCGCCCCCGAAAATGTCGTCATAATTATCGTAGGTAATAAAGTCGACGAGGTGTGGGCCCAGTTCCTACTTGACTTCATATAATTTTTCAAGATATTAATATCTGCTAACGCCTACCTCAGGAATTATCTCGCCAAGTCTCCACCGCCGCAGGCAAGGGATTGGCGGCGCAGATGTCCTGGCCCTTTCTCGAGGCATCCGCGAAGACTGGTGCAGGCGTCGAGGGGGTATTCGAGTGCGCAGTCAAGCACACCCTCGCTACCCCGGCATTGTGGGAGGTCAAACCACCCGCAACGATCGATTTGAAGTGCGACTACAATCGCTTCCTGGCGCAAGACTGCCGTTATGCTTTGATGGTGAGTGGAAGGACCAGAGAGAGATATCTTTGTTTCAGGTTTGTGAATTAGGCCCCGTAGCCGTGATGAACAAAAGCAAAAGTATCTCACAGTTGGTGACCACCGCATGCCCTGGGCTTGAGTCGAACAAGTGTCTCGTGGGTTTAGTGTTTATGTCACTAGCAGGAGACTGACCGGCCTACAGCTGTACTAGCCGCTGATTACTACGACCTGAGTATACACATGGGCAAGCCGATGCAATTCACCTGCCATAGCGCGCGGGTTTCATGGATCAAAATACACGCACCCAAATTGTAAACCCGCGCACATTGTGCGACCTCAGCATCATTTGGCGCCCTCCAATACTGGAAAATTAAATTGAAAAATGCAAGAAAAGACTGGATGGCTTCAAGCCCTGTGCCCGAGTCGAACAGGCATCATTGGGGGCGGTGAAGAACAGGCATTCACTGACTAGTACTATTGCACATCACTGTCCACTAACAGCCAGGTAAAGGTCGTTTGCTCAAAGATTTAGGGCTTAGGCACTGCACACCAACAAATTTGAGGGCACCGCAAATTCAATCTGGGTAGGGACTGCGTCACAGCGACGTACATGTAAGCACATTGATAAGTGAGGTTCAAGGCGTGATATGTGATGCCTTACGTAGTGTGAATTGGTACATGATGGACTTATGAGGGGGCTGGGAGTTAAGATGGATGGGATGAGTGAAAAGCAGTCAAAGGGTGAGTGGAAGCGGGCTCGGGATTGAAGGTCCAAAAAACGCGAGCGCGTGGACTGTCCCGATCACCGACTCCTTTGATCTCCTCGCTGAGCTTACTACACCTGTCATCCACTTATCCTCCGTCAATCCAGTACAGAGCCCAGCTCCGCCTGCACCCAACGCCATCAATTTCGCTATGGACCAGCATGAAGGTGCAGGCACCAGGCAACGGTCACCGCATGCCGATATCTGAAATCAATCTTGAACGTCGAAATGATGCCGGAGCCGACGCCGATGTGGATTGTATAGCGAGGGGGAAACAATGTGGTCGGAGAGCGGAAGGGTAGGAGGACAGGGTGGTAGCTGCGTCTCGATGAGAGTGTTCTGTGACAAGTCTGCAGCACCAGGTGGTCAGGAAAAAGCAGCGGGGTGTAGAGAGCTGAAAAGAGAGGTGAAGGAACCAGGACGGGCGCGAAGGAAATCTGAAGTTTCAGGCAGGCTGACATCTGGGACGTGGAGTAGATATGGGCTCATCACTTGGTCTCTATCGACATGAGAAGACAAGTGGGACTGGCGACGCGCGTGGGCAAGCACAAAACAGAGCTAAAGCGGATTCATCCTTGGTGTTTAGAGCTGCGTGATCGCGGTGAAGGGTGAGCTTGGGCACTGAAACACGAGCTAGGTCAACTTTCATGCCTTGACAAGCGTGCTGCGACATACCGCTGGCCCAAAAATCGACACTTTGAACTCTTGACATCGGTTGATTGAGTCAGCGATGGGCAGCGTTCAGTACCAGTCCAGTTAGGCAACGGACATGTTGGAGTCTTTGCCTACGCTTGATGAGACACCAGTTGAAGTTCGCGAATGGTGGCCGGGGGAAAAGCGTGTGCGGGTAAAGGGTTGTCAGGAAAGAGGAAGGCGCCAGGATTGGGGCGGGGAGTAGGGGATGGCCTGATGCTTATATTGGATGCCTGCTGAATGCACAGGCACGAAGACGGAATAGGCAGTTGTACAGGCCGGGAATTTTCCAGCGACTGGTAATTAGATCTTCGGCGCTCGATGGGACGCTCATATGTTGAAGTGTAGGCCTACGAAAGCATGAATGAAATTCATAAAAAGCTCAAGTTGTGCGACCTACCGTCGAAGCGAGAATATGATCACAAAAGACTTCAGATTATACACATGTCTTTTCGTTCGATTGAGGCGTGAGGAGGCTGTGTGAGCGCTCCAGTGACTGGGGACAAAGTATGTTGGTGATGGTGGCGTGTTTCATGGAGGGAGCCTAGGAGAGGATGGGGGCGCCTCAGGCTCAGGGGGGATACTGCTTGGTTAATGGAATTGGTTAGTGAGGAATTTTTCACCATGGAAAAGCAGACGCACCTGACTCAGAAGGTGACCTCCTCGTCGACAACCTCATCCCTCGAAACTTGGGTGCCCGAAACACATGGCAACATGCTCGATACACAACGTTTGAGCTCAGCCCAGTCTGTTACCCCATCGTCTTGGGAGTATATTCAATGACGGGTAAGCTCAGTGGCAGTGGACCATGACGATGCAGAAGAATTGAGAAGAGGTCAAGGGTTCCGGGAAATGTGCCGGGCCGGGCCCATGCCCCTCTCGATTATTCACAGAATCTGTTGCAGAAAGTGCATTTGAACCGTATATGTATCTGAAAGAATTATGATCTCATATACGACTGCCATTCAACATCCCATTGGTGCAGCGGCTTTAAACCACATAACGAATAAAACTTTCCCGTTTAAAAAGCTCTGCGTCGGATCTAGCTTCAGCTAATTCTTTCTTTCAGCAAGGCACGCAGTGTCGCACATTATAAACCCCATGTGTGCGCGCTTCGAGATTAATCTCCATTTTATTCAGACATATTGAGCGCAAAAATCACATAACCTCGATACTTTTCGGGCATAATGCTACCAAGCCTTCAACATTATGTAGACGGTGCGCCGCATCCCAAGACGGTTTTATTTAATAATTGCCAGAGTCATTGAAACAGCTTTGGTGTATTGGAGCTCAGAGTCTTGCGTTTTCCCAGTGGCTATCAGCACGTTTCTGAGGAGGCCCCGTTCGATTCGGGTGTAGGGCACGAGTATTAAAAATGATTTTTTTAGCTACTGCTGACTACTTGATTTCTGGCTTTAGATAAACGAATTCACATAAAGCTATTTCTAGCCCGAAGGAACAAAGACACCATTACGAACCCGAGGTCTCCGAAATTTGATCATAGGACGATGCGTATCGTCTGAATCGCCTACGATAATATGCCAGACCTACTTGCATGAAAAGCACATTTAATGACGAAAAATATCCGTGAAATTGTGTGGCACTATCCTTTGAACCGGCGTCAATACAGTGACCTCGGGACGATAGAGATAATGAGATTGCGCCATATTACAGTCCCGCGCTCCTCCGGCTGAGCTATCAAAGGCTTACAATCAGGAGTTGGACCATGGCAACGGAAGGAAGTTCCAGCCATATGAATTCTCGTTGCGAGCGCCGTACATTTTGATGGCAGACGCTCAACCAATACATCAGCGCAGAATTCTCAAGTATAAAATGCACACTAAATTGTAGGCAAGAGGTATCCTGGGTATCCTATTGATATTTTATATGTAAGGTCCATTGACGCTCTAGTGTATCTAGGTTTGTCTTTAATTGTCGTTATGAATCCCAGATAGCACCAAAGGCTGGTATGCCTCGACTCATCATGCCATACACGACCTTGTCGGTCAGTGTCTTGTTGGAAATGATAATTACAGCCTCGGCATTGAATTCAGTCACCATCCGGTAGGTTAGCTTCACCATGTCGGGTTTTCCGTGCTTTCGAGTGTCTGTGAGATCGTCAGACCATGCCAACGAAAGAGAATTACTACTCACTGTAAATTACAGATTCAGGATTAGCCTTGAGGATGCTGTCGACGAGCTTGTCTCCGAATGTTTCTCGGACGTCGGGTGCAGTCCAAAGAACCCTGATGGGCACCTTGCCCTCCAAAATGGCCGGAGTGCATGGTGCGATTCCGGAGCCTGTGGCAACCAGAACGATGCGGCGGAACATGGGGAGGATTCTCATGACGCCGTAGGTGGGGAAGCCGCGCTTCCAGATATGTGTTGGTGGGTTGGCGATCATTTTCGCAGTCCAATCGCCGGCTTTGCTGATGATGACCGAGAATCCCTCCTTTCCAGGCTCCGGCATCGTGGCGAAGCTGTGCCACTCGGTCATTGGAGTGTCCGATAGGCGAACGAAGCTTCCAGCTCCAGGAGTGGCTGTCCAGAATTATTACCGGCACGGATAAAATGATTCAATTGAACTCACTATAGTCAAAATACATGCGAAGGGCATGGTTAGACAGCTTTTCGCAGGTGACGGGGACCTTCTTGAGTCTGAACCAAGGCAATGCAATTGATACTGTAGAGCAGTGAGTCTACATATTTCGCTCGTTGAGGTGGGAACTTACATGTGGCGAGGGAAATGAGCCAGAAGGGGATCGAGTGAAGCAAGGCTGTACTAATAGGTTTATCACCACGATAATCGTCAGTGAGGCAAATAATCTGTGAAAGGTTTCATTTTCTATTTAATCGGGAAGTTGATTTTATTTACCTGGACCCAAACAAGAAAAATGGCACTCCAGCCAAGGAAACGATGTGTGGCTTCGAAAGTGTTGTGGAATTTCTTCCGTAAAGTGGGATGAGCGAAAACGATGATGCCAAAGAGCAGTGTCAAGATAATGTAGGACACTAGTACAGTCGCTCCACTGGCCTGTCAGCGATATTTTCTTCAGCTGGGTAGTTTTTAGATTTCTATGACTGCACTTACTCCTTTCCCGTGCACCAATTCTAACGTCGCCTTGACACAGAAGAAAATGAGCCACAGCATGCCAGATACTCCCCCACCCGAATGCAGCCCTCCAAGGTGGTAAACACGCGCAGAAAATCTGCGTATCCAAAGAGGCCAGCTGCGGGGAACTGCAGTGAAAACGACGAAAAACGCATCAACGACGTAGTCCTGTCGCATGAGAATGGCGCCGAAGAGATTTCCGATTGTGATCAGGCCGATGTGCGATGAGTTGACAGATTTAAAGTGGAGGGCGACCCATATGAGAATGCCGAAGTTAGTGAAGAAAACCAGGCCGAATAGGCGTCGATAGATGTAGAAGATCCGGTGGCGCATGTTTCGAAGCACTCGCACTGGCTCTTTTGGCGGGAGTATTTCTTTTTCATAGCCGGCCCAGATGGATGTCCGGTCCTCGAGAGAGGAGGGATCAATTCTCTTCTCCATAGGAACACTATTGACTGTGGTGTTGGCGGAGGATTGAGTATACATGGGATGTTTCTGGTCTTGTCATAGATGCTTGCATTCTCCCTATTAATACTGCCCGGCTTTTCGCTGACAGTATGCGAGCGCTGTACAGTTCAATTTTAGAATTTGATATTTGATATTGAGAAAAAGATAAAACAAAAAACAAGAGATCGTGCTTGAATTGGGGTAAAGTTGGTCCTGGTGGACAGATTACGTTGGGCGCACGTTGCATGAAAAAAATGCTGCAGGGCTCCTTGCGCCAGCGCGAATGTCATACTTGTGATGCAGGCAGTGCTGTCCAACGGTCAGGACTCTACTTTTTATGGCCGACCTTGGCTGCTGTGGTACGGGGACAATATCTTTGGTAGTAATTACAGCGGTTCCGGGGACATCGGTGATATGATTGAGCTGCAATCGGAGCCATATGTGGTTCGCCTTCCTGGAACAGGTTGGGATAACTGGTAACATATAATTAGACTCAATATATGTGCGATTGGGAATATCACTTTGGTTATCAAGATAAACGTTCTTCACGGTCGCCTGGAAGTGTTGTGCGGGCCAAAGACAGCGGCGCCTGGAGAGCACCGCCCAGGGTGATGCGAAATGAGTCGCAGTTCAAAAGTGCCAATCCATCTCGAACTTGCCTAGAAATGCTAGTCTTCGAGCATGCCAAGGATCGGCGCATGAAATGCTCCGGGTGGAGAAGAGTTTGAGATGCCTGCAGGGCCAGCCCGCCCTAGCTGCAGATCCAATTTTCTCGAGGTCACTATGTGGCACAGTTTTTCTTAGTCAATGAAATCATTAGAATTGAGCGCGATAGAGCAGTGTTCTAAAGGTCCAGTATCAGCTTGTGTCCGACTCGCCCTTTGAATACTCACCTTATCTGAGCGCTCAGCCGGTCGTCTTGACATTCCAGGTCATGGGGGCGCTCAGGCTCAGTATCGCAGATATCAAATAGCTGTGGAAAGTTCGTATCTCCCATTGTCCGAAGATCTTGACATTCCAGCCATGGGCGCGCTCAGGTTCAATATCGCAGATATAAAATAGCTGTGGAAGGTATGAGTCTGACATTGTTTGCGCGTCACAATAAGTGTGCATTACCCCCGCACGCCGGTTCCCATGTAGTCAGTGTCAGCCTGCTGTACCTGAGTCGAGCGCGTATACCTACAAACTTGCGCCATCGATGCACGTTGTACACCACCTCCTAGTCGTGATACACGCTCATTGATTCATGATTCTATGTGCACATCTACACTGATGAATGTGAAGATGTTTGACATTGGGGTGTTAGGCTTTGGAACTCGGGCGCGGTCTACTGTGCACTGTACACCATGAGAGCAAAACCAAGCGCACGAAGAACGACAAGGCCGATTTAAACGTACTGCCACAGAATCGCTTCACTTGGGACACGAGTACAGGGAGACACTGGTCATAAGATAAAGCAAGAAGCCTGCGATCCCGACACTCCGTAGTACTTAACTCCTGAGATTGGCGATATATTGCAGGCTCTCTGGTTGAGCGTGAGGAAATGATGTGCATGGCATGGCAGGATTGTGATTGAAAGCTGGAAAAACATACTGAGAACTATTCATTTCAAGGAAAAATAAAAGTCCCTGAGATACGGGTGCGAGTTCTAGAATGAAAGTGAAAGGATAAGAGCAAGAACAGACGGGAGGCAATAAAGGTATATAGTCAGTAAATAGACATACGGAACAACGAAGATCTTTCACATCTTTCATTGATATTGATGCGGTCGCGTAGCGTATGGAGGCTAGACTGTGAGCCCATAGATAGTTGCGGCGCAAATAGACCAGAGCAGGCCCATAATGAGAGGATTTCATTGGTATACAGCGTCGTAGGTTAAAGTTAAGGGCAAGGGTGCAGGCGAAGACAGGGAGGACAGCGAGGGGAGATTAAGCTAGGCAGCCGATGAAGATTATAACGGCCCACTAACACTGGAGGCAAGCCTCACGGCAGTTAAAACTCAACCGCCCTCGAGGCGGTTGAACTAGTGTTGCCGCAAGGCAAGGTCAAGGTGACCTTAAGGTGCAACCCGGATCAGAGCTACGGTAGAGCTACGGTACATCTACATAGCCCTGTAGACAAGTGTTTTTCCTGATGGACCATGTGATACCGTTTTGAAGCAAACGAGCGCCGCCGTGAGCGTCAACACAGACGCACCTCGACGATATGCGCGACTTTTAGATATGCAGAACCCATGCAATTGAGAATTGAGTGCTCTTAACATTATTTAAACATTCTAAAATTTGGAGGGGGTTGGATTCCGGCCCCTCAGATGCATCAGACGTGAATAAGGTCACTCTTGGGCTTGCCGGCTTGGGAGGATGTTTACGGCGCTGCCCAGCGCGCAAGTACTATTCACGAGATGCTTCAGCCTCAGTCCTCGCGGACCCCGCCCTTCTAGGAGTCATCAGGTCTGAAGTTGACTGTCCTAATAATCAATTTTTTTTTATCTTGTGGATTGCGGAGGCTGGCTACATGATTCAAATGTTTTTGTATCTCGGGGATCTGATGAAAGGTATAAGAAAGTTCATATTACCTTGAGTAGAAGACTTAGTAGAAGATGTTTAGTTTGCTTAGAGCTGTAGAGGTGACTGAAGTAGGAACTGAGTTCTCTGATTCATAGTAGACGAATACAGAGGGTTTATATACTACAGAGGTAGGTAAATATGTACATACAATGAGTCATAACCACTACAGCATATGGTGTGATTATGGTGCAATAGCTGTGTAAGGCTATGCAAGGCTATGTAAGGCTGTGTAAAGCCTGGAGC